AAACATGAAATTTCATTCACCTTGCCACCTGAGGGTCCTTTATATGACTATTTGGGCAACTGTCTTAGGTCATTGGTTCAATTATTTTATAAGATGAAAAAAATGAAATATGTCTAGGATGGACTTTCTTAAGTTGTATGAAAAAATAGGGTAAATTACATTGATATATTTCTATTTAATACAAATCTCTCTCACAGTTAAAAAATTATCTTATACTCTATCAGATTAAAATGACATATCTGTTTTTTAGTCTTTATACATATAAAATAATAAAATTATACAGGTATTTTGTTCATATCATTTCAAGAGAAATAATAATTATTTTCTTTAATTTAATTCACACAAGAAATTGAGTTTTTTTTTTTTTTTGGTATTTTTTTTTATTGAATTTTTTTAATACTTTAAGCAATTTTTTTAATTTTTAGATACGTCTAATCTAGATATACTTAAGAAGTATAATATTTTGTGATTTTTTTTAAATTCATCAAATACAAAAAAAAATACAACAAAATACAAAAATTTAACACATTATCTTATTTTGTTATATTCAATGGATTTTTTTAAAAGTTTTTTGTACAAATCTTATACCTTTTAAATATATCTAGATTAAGCTGATCTAATCTAGATATAATGGTGGAAATAAAAATGAAAAATTATATACATATATAAAAATTTATACAAAAAATATAAATCATATTTATGGATATTTTGTTTTAAAGTGAAAAGTCACTATTAAACTATATCATTGTGTTTGAAAATCTTGTATAAAATTTATATTTGTATATCATCACTCACTAAAAATATGTTCAGATAGAATTTAATGATGAAAAGTTATATAATGTAGTCACGATATAGGAAGAAAAAATAATAGAAAAAAGGACAAAATAGTTATTTAGAAAATTTTAACGTATTAATGCATGACATCAACAATCCATAGGGTAATTTGTAATGAGATTACAAATCTCGGGAAAAGGAATATTAATTTTTCAAATGTAAGAGAGAAATTGTATTAAAGAGAAATCTTAAAGAGTATCAGTGTATTTTACCCCAAAAAAAAATATGAAAATTGATGTGTATGACGTACTTTTTAGTATTTTTTTATTTTTTTAATGACTTTAATTTTTTACTTCCCCCCTTTTTTTTTGTTGTCTTTTTTTAAAAAAAAAAAAACTAAAAACTAATTTCCCAAAAAACAAGCAACTTCTATAGTCAAAGTCAAAAAGGTTGTTAAATTAAAATTAAAAAATGGTTAGACTTTACAAAATTCTCTTTAATCAAATTTATTTTTAAAAAATAACAAAATCAAAAATTATGCCAAATTTGTTTCAAAATTTGACAAAATTATTTTTATCACATCACTTTTTTTTGCTAAAAACTCAATTATCATTTTCTACCAAAGTTTGCTGTGCAGAAATCAATTAAATAATGTTAATGTGAAACTTAATTGTGTTAAAATGATAAGTTACTTTTGAATGCTACAGTCTAAATATGGCTTTTAAAATAACTCATTAAAAGGTCAAACTATATATATTCAACACGTTTAGTAAATTTTGAAGGGCGTTTATTATATCAATTATATGCTTGTACCAACAAATTAATCCATTAATTTTTTAAAGATAAGAGACTGAAGAAAAAAAAAAAGGGTATCTAATCATATAAATCAACTTACGAAGCTGGAAAAAGATAATTTAAAACTTAATAAAAAAATGTAGTAAAAATTTAATTTAATGTGAAGTGAATCACTTTCAAATATAAATCTAATCTATGCTCTCTCTTTTTTCAGCTTTTTTCGACTAAGTTTTTGAAAATTCATAAAATTGTTGTGTAAAAGAAAAAAAAAAAATCAAGTATATTCTGGCACCTTTATTCACAAAGTTCTAATAATAAGATAGAATCGGGACATTTGGCCTAATAGTTGTGTACCACCATTTTTTATGTGAAATCTTGAGTTCAAATTGTATGAGGAAGAATTGATACTTTTTGTGATAGTTTACTTCTCTCCCATTATGAAACTCAGGCTCCGTTTGGGAAGAAAAAAGCTAGGCTTTTTTGCCTAAAATAGTCACAAAAAATAAAATAGGCTATTTTAGCCACAAAAAACAAAACGTCAAATCCAACCCATAATCATTACAATCCTCTCTCACAAAAAAAGCCAAAAAAGTTAAAAAGTCAAAAAGCCCTTTCCAAATCAGGCTAAAATAGCCCAGGCTAAAATAGTCAAAAAGCCAGAAAGCCAAAAAACCAACCCACTTCCCAAACGGAAGCTTAGTGATAGTGGTGTTGGGCTTAGGTTAAAAATAAATAAATTTGATGTACTAATTTTGTTTTATTTTTTTTTACAGTGGACTGTGAGTCATGCCTTATTTCTTAACCCAATAAAATCATATGTAGGCGAGGGCTTTTAATATCCACCAATTTAACGAGTGTGCCTTTGGTTACCCCCCACCAAATAAAAGCATATGGATTCCATGAAATAATTGATATATTATATAAAGCTAACATAAAATGATATGGTATAACTTTCGATTTTATCATTTTAACAAAAAAATATATCAAAGAAGTTTATGTTTTCTCAAATATCATTATCACATTATTCTTGATAGGTCCAAACATTAGTATTGTTTATATGTTGATAATGCTTAATGGTATAAATAATTTGTGGGTCATGCACACTGCTAACTTAAAAAAGAGAAAAAAATCTCATGCATGAAATTCCATATAATGTTTAGTTTAATTCTTTCAAAGACCCCTCTCTACCTAACATTCCAACCAAACAAAGGTAATAAAGCCATTTATTTTATTAATTTTTTATTTCAACACGTTGGTGTTGAGAACTGCACTTTTAGTGGACTGTGAATAGTAACCTGCGAATAATTACTCGGGTATGTGCGCAAAGAATAAGAGAAGAAGAAGAGAGAGAAGAGGTGCCTTACCCCGCACAAGGGTTGAACCAATCACACACAAACGTAATCTCAAATTCTCATACCATCAACAATTCTATTGAATCATTGAGATTATACATATATTTATAGGCAAAGATTTGATTCATTTTGAATTCTTTAATTTAGAATTTATCAAATGTATCTACCTTGGTTTATGGTTATACATATATCTATGGTTTTGCTTATCTTACTGGCAGGATTGTTATGGTTGTTAGCTTATTAATCATCGTGTACTGAAATTTGCAGGTACAACAATAAGTACAGTTTTATTATGCCAGCTAGTTGTCTCAATACGATGTACATGTTTATAGGATTTAATTGATTTTTGCAAAGATACAGGTTTGCAATCCAGTGTTGCTGCCACTATCATGCTTCTCTGATAAATTTTTCAATTCTGTTTCTTTATTAGGTGCCTTACATCACTACTGCTTTGATGGATGCGAAGCTAGGCACGGAAGGACGCAAGGATCTTTTTGATTGGCTATCAAGGCAACTTAGTGGATTAAAACTTCGAATATGAATTATGTATTGTGTCGAATAGTTAATGAATTAAAACTTAGTGGATCTTTTTGATTGGCTATCAAGGCAACTTAATGTATTGTGTCGAATATGAATTGAAAACTTAGAATAGTTGTATTGTGTCGAATGTTAATGAATTATGTATTGTGTCGAATGTTAATGATTCAGTTAATTTGAATGATGTTTTAAAATTATAGGTTTATTATGGATTGAATGCATTATTAGGAATTACAGGTGTATTGTTTTCCTGCTTTGGCGACCAATTTATTAGTCGCGACATCAAAAATAATTTTTTTTCGCAAAAAATGACAATTGCCGACCAAGAGTTTTGGTCGCAAAAAATACATCTATTGCCGACCAAACTTTTTGGTCGCTAAATGTGATAATTGGCGACCAAACTTTTTGATCGCGAAATGTGACAATTGGTGACTAAGAAATTTGGTCGGGAAAATATCACTTTTCGCGACCAAAGTGTTTTAGCGACAAAATGAATTAGTCGCAATAATTAAATATTTAGCGACCAAAAATTTAGTCGGCAAATCCAACTTTTGCCGACCAACCAAAATTTTGGTCGCGAATTACTTTGCCGACTCTCAATTGGCGACCAAAAAAATTGGTCACGGATAACTTTTGCCGACTAAAAATAGACTTTTAGTGACTAATTTTTTGTTGCTAAAAGTGTTAATTCTTGTAGTGACGTTTTATTAATTTTTTGTTTCAACAAAGTTGATGAAACCTCCAGTGTCTAAAGGGAAAAAAAAAATTCTCATGCATAAAATTACAAACAATGTTTAGTTTAATTCTTTCAAAAACCCCTCTCTACCTAACATTCGAACCAAACAAAGTCAATCAAGCCAATTATTTTATTAATTTTTTATTTCAACAAAGTTGATGAAACCTACTTTGTGAGCAGCCAAGAGCCACCGAAACAAGAAATTGAAAGTCACCCCTTACTATTACTAATACTATGCAAATAATGTCTTGAAAAAGAGTAATAATATATTGGAGCAATAATATATAGGAAAAATTATAAAAAAAAAAATATTTAAAATTTGAGCCTTTTAACAAAATAAATAACAAAGTTTTATTTTTATCAGTTTAAAATTAATCTTTTGATTTGTTTTTAATCTAGACTATTTGTTTATTTTTATTAAGTAAAATTATCGAAGAAATAATATTTTATTTATTAAACTTAATAAAAATGAGTATTTTAGACATATTTGGTACATTTACATAGAGTATAATGACTACAATATCAGTTTTTGGTCAATTTTATTTAACAAAAATAGATAAATAATTTAAATTGAAAACAAATCAAAAGATTGAAGTTTAAATTGATAAAATTTAAAAATTATTTTGTTTTAAGACTCAAACCCTAGGATTTTTTTTATATTATTTCTCCTAATATATAAATAGAATATTTATAAATAATTTTATATTGAAATTTTTTTAATTTAAAATAAAACACGCATAAAATGATTTATATTTATAAAAATAACACTATTTCTCAAATCATTTTTATTAAATGATTAAAAAATGAAAAATGATCATAAGCTGTGATTTGTCATTTATTGTGCATACAAGGACAACTTGAACTTTGCTTTTTGATCAAGATAAGCAACAACAACAACAACAAATAAACAAACAGACGAGCAAAAAGGCATCCTAAGACCGAATAGAGATTGGTTTTAATTTTCATATGAAAAATTAATCTTGAAACCATATTTTATATTCTCATGTTTAAATCAACTACAAGTATAATCTATAAATTATCCGAGAGAGAGAGAGAGAGAGCTTACATGCTTACAACATGGCAGGTGGTGTTATCGGAGGTGCAGTTACCACAGGTGACAGCATTCTCAAACCCGTTAGGCTCACTCTGGTTGACCCAACCCGATTCTCCACTGCATGGATCTACACTGAAATCCCAATTCTTCTTTCCCAACTTCTTCGCTATTTCGTTCAGAGCTTCCACTGCAAAAATAAAACGCACATTAATTTATATCCGTCACCGAAATATTATCCTTAATACTCACACTCCATATGCACAGAATCCCACTGAACTTACATCAGGACAAAAACTAAGGCTCTGTGTGCTCTAAACACTAAACAATATATTTAATTTTAACAAGAGATTATGGAGACTCGAACTCAAATTTTGAGTATGGAATCCAAAAGTCTTAAACCAACCCTTGTTGGTGTTCCTAATCTTATATTCATATGTATGTGTATATATACCTTCAGAAGAGGGAAGTGGAGTGGCTCCGGAAGCGAAAGTAGCCAAGAAAACGATTACAGCAACAGAAGGAAGAAGCCGAGTGAGGAACATTATTACAAGTTCACTGAGTTGAGAGGGAGAGAGAGAGAGAGAGAGAGGGGGATCCGTATATATTTTACAATTCTGTATTTTGGGTCTTATATTAATGACGTGTGAAAGTTACTCATATCCATGTGTTTGGTGGCTTTCTACGGAGATTATAATCAAATGAAATTATTGACTAGGAAAAATGCATGTAGTACTCTCACAGTTTTTACTTTACTTTTTAGGAGAGAGAGCACATGTTAAGGTTGGATTTTATCCACGTGGCGATGGCTTATTTAAAAAGTGAGCTTCGTTGAAAAGTATAAAATGTGATGGTTTTAACGTAAACTAAATAATATAAAAAGTCACTATCTTATTTAAATCACATTATTTTATTTAAATTATATTACTTCTTTAACATATTACATCAAATTTAATTTAAATTCAACTCATATAAGTTAATAAATCAAAAAATATATTTTTTTAGAACATCCCAAACCAACCTTTTAAAATTTTTATGTGTAAAAAGTAGTGTTAGAGATTAGGGACAACTTAATTATTTTAGGGTTTTAGGTGACGTATTGAATGGAGGTCTTCTAACATTTAAATAATTATTACTTAATTTTTAAATATTAAATTTCTTATTTTACTTTTTTATTTTTTATTTTTTACTTTTGATGATGCTGAATTATTAATTAAATTCTTACAATGAAAGTGTTCTAATATATTTTTAGAGTATTTACATGCAGGTCCTAATAGGTAAATTTATTGTCTAATAGATTTTATGATAATTAATGATATTTTTCATCAAACGCTATTAAGAAAAGTCACTAATTGTTAATTTTTATAGACAATTTGAAAATTGTCATAAAAAATGTCACTAATTTTCAACTTTCAGCGACAATTCATAAAATTCATCACAGAAAATATCACTAATTATAAGTTTTAGCGATAATTTATAAAAATTATGATAAAAAAATCACTAATTATTAATTTTTAATGACGTATAAAAAAATTATCGTAAAAAATTATCTTTAGAGAGAAGAAATGTTGATACTATTGATTGATATTAGGCTTCAAGCAACCTACATCATTATTTTGAGGCCTAAATTGAACAAAAATGATTTTATCTATTACATTTCAACACAGCATGTGCCTTTTATTTATTTGAACTAATCCATTTATAGAAGAAAGCAAATATATATATATATATATATATATATATATGAGGTTTCATTTTTCCATTTGTAATTATGATTTGAACATGTGAGACTTCATCAACTTTATTTTTAAGCCCAAGCAAATAACAAATATTTTGAGCTTTCCCATTACTTGCATTTGCTTAATACAACAATATATATAAGTACTAACGGTAACTCATGTGATGCACAGAAAAATAGATTATATATATTTTGTGTAATAAATAAATTATCTTAATCTTAAATTATGTCTTAATAGCGACAAGCCATGATATTAAGTCATCTGAATAGTTGTTAACAATAATTACCTCACAAAATTTCACAATAAAATTTGATATGCATAAGAAATTATTAATTATAAAAATTGTTCAGAATAATAATATCACAATTACTTGATAACATAAATAAATTGTATCAAACTAAACAAAACATTAAAAGAGAGAAATTCTATAAGATTAGAAAAGTTATCATAAATTTACTTGGACTTTTAAATCAGTGGTATATATTATTATTGTGGGATCAAATTATGAATAAACATAAACTTTTAATTATAATTTATAAGTAGTGTACGGGGAGCAAATATTCCGCGGAGCCTGTACTCCTTTCATCTAAGCTCCTTGTCTATCCGATCGACCTGCGAGCACAACAGCGGTGAGCTACCCGACGGTGCGTGGCCGGAAAACCCCTCCAACGTTCAAGTTAGCACACACACTCAAGGAGAGAGAGAGGAAGAGAGAGATAAATCACAATGAGTGTTTCTCACCAAATGATGTTCCATCCCCAGCATGGGGGCGCAGTCATGCTTATATACTTTCTGCACTCAAATCTGCCCCCATTAGCCTCTTGACACGTGGAGCTGCTCTCTCATCTGTCAGCACATATCCCGCAATCACCACCTAACCAAACCGGCAAACTACATTAGTGGGAGCTCAGCAGCCCAGCGGTATCTCCTCAGCCTCACACAACCATGTTGGATAACGAGTCCGAGTACTCCACTCGTCGAGCTCCATAACGACCGTATTCGGTTGTATTCCGGCATAACCGAGCTCAAGACAGGTCGAGCTGGTAAACCGAAGCCCTTCCTGCCGAGCTAAATGTGCGAACCGTGGAATCCCGAATGGCGGGGATCACCTCGGCCGAGTAACTCAAGCAGCTCGGTCCCCACATGGACAAGCCCAAGTAGCTCGGTCCCAACATAGCCCTGGGCCTCAACCGAGCAAAACCATCTCTGGACAGGCCCAAGCTATCACGACCCAAACACGTTCGGCCTTCAATTTGCCCGGCCTTTACCATGGCCCATTCTAGCTCGTAAATCTCCCTCTCAATTGCCCCTTAATTCTGTCTGCGCAAAAGCATGACTGGGATTACGTGACCTAACCGGGGTACATTCCCCGTCGGTCTTTCCTCCACAAGTTGTATACCGCGCTAGTCAACATGCTCGGTTTCTAGACTTGCCCGGTCAACGCCTTAACTCGCCTGCTTGCCCCTTCAATACTGACGCCGCCGTCAATAGGGACACGCGTTGATCATTTATTGGCCTCGAGCAGCCAACCCCGACGTCCTTTCATATTTGAATTTTGGCGGTTGTTTTCCCCTATAAACACACCAACTCCCCTTTCATTTTCTTGTTACTGACTCACTTCCATTCCAGACGACCTAACGTCACAGTGCCCTCATCAAGTTCCATTGTTGCCCTCTGCTGCATTCGTGCTCGAAGATTCGACTTCTGCCCCATTCTGGTAAGTTCTTCGAACCCCATTATTGCTTTTTTCTTCGGTATTTCACATCTTAAGGCACAAAAGTAATAGGTTTTAGGATATAGCTCTCAAAAACCTCTCATGCCCCCTATTCTCCTTGCTGTTCTTCAGCTCCAGTGATGAACACATGAAGATCTGGGGTGAACCGGGCTCCAGGTCTTCTTTTGATCCCAAAAAACATCTAAACCGAGCAAATTACGAGTTTGTAAAAACTCCTGTAGGAACCGAGGTAGGTAAAGGGTTTGCCCGCTTGACCAGGCTAACATCTAGTCCGTTTGAGCGGCTGAGCTTCTGGATTTACCTTCATGACCGGGGTGGCCTGGCACTCCACCTGACCAAGCTAAAGTTAAGCTCGTTTTGTGCGACCGCGCTCCCTCTTACACTTACCCTCCTTTTCCTGTAGAGTCCAAGGGGATTACACACCAACACTGAGGCTCTCAAAGACCGAGCAGCCACCAAACAAGAGTTTGTGCCAAACCAACACAGCCATTCTAAAACCAGCCGGCTACACATAGGGCGCTACTGCTTCCTGGTCGACACGCCGGTCGCTCTAGCCGCGTTCCGGGAAGAATATGGTATCCCAGTCGACGTACATCTCGAGCTCGGTGCCGAGGAAACAACCCTCTGCGGTAGACTAGACCAGTGTCCTTTCACCGTGCTCTCCATAATAGAAGGTGGCCTCCGCTTCCTGGTTAACCCGCTTTTATGCGAGTTCTTGCAGCGCACCAGGCTAGCGCCAACCCAAGTCTCAACCAACACTTACAGGATAATTAACGGGATCCACGAACTGAACAACCGGCTAGGAACTAACCTAGGATTAGCCGAAATACTTCGCTAGTATACCCTCGGGCATACGGGCGACGGCCTTGCCTATTATTTAAAGATCAGACCGGGCAAGGAGAAGATAATGACCGGCACCCTGGACAAAGACATGCACGATGACGACTTTTTCTTGGTGTCCGGTAATTACAAAACGACCGACGTGCTGGACTCGTATATAAGCAAAAACTTTTGTGAAACATGTAAGCTGTGCTAACTGCTCGGTCAAATTTCTTCTTTTCTAAATTCCATACTTAATATCTTTTCTTCTTTTGCAGCAATTGAGGCTTTGCAAGCCAACTACCATTATCCCAACGAAGCAGCCATCAAAACTGTGCTGCGGTACCGAAATCGAGATTGTCACGAACTTCTCGGCTACGTACCGATCTACCGATACTCCGCTTCACGCCGGAGTAGAGTGATAGACTTTCTTCGAACGCCATCGCCACCTCCTGACCCCACATTACCCGACGTGCCCCTCATCCGGCTGACCGAGGCAGAGGAGATGGCCAAACAAAGCCTCATTAAGAATCTTATCACTGCCACATCCACCGAGCTACCGAGCATCCCACCTTGCACTTCAAGAACCAGGAAAACATCTGAGGTCGTCATTGCCTTGGCCTCAAGCCTCCCATCACAGGCCAGCAAGGACACCCACCAAACTAGAAAAAGGCCTCGAACCGCCGATCCCTCAGTCGAGCTCGTCGCGGAGCTGAACACGGAGCAACCCGCGGTCACAACCGAGCTACCATCGCCCTGTAAGCCCCAGTTGAAGCACTGGGGTAAGGAGATCCCAGCAACCGCCTCGGTCAAAGGCGACAAGGAACACCTCCTAGCCTTCGACCTGACAAAAGCCCTCCTACTGCCGAGCGACGTGGTCTGCAGCGATCACGTGTCCGACACCCAGCTGGTGAAGTCCTCGGTCAAGTCCATGACCCGGGTAAGAGTTTTGCAAGCTTTATTCAAATTTTTTCAAGTGTTTGCTCGGTTCCATCTCTAATCAAACTCTCTTCTTGCAGGCTATCCAAAAATAACACCTTGTACTGGAGCGGATTCACAGACTCCGGAAGAAGGCAACCGACGCTGCCAGCCACGTTGAGCACCTTCAGACCGAGCTGGGGAGATCAAAAGCTTCTTTGGAGATCACGAACTCCAACAACTCTAGATTGCTCGGCCAACTGGGTGCCGCCAAGAAAGAAAGGGACGCTCTCCGGGCCGAGCTGGAAGTGTTGAAGCAATCGAGGAAGGACGAACTGGACAAGGCAAACAATGAAGGTTTCAATGAGGCTGAGGAAAACTATACCAAGCAAGTGGAGGCCACCGA